ACTTATTGTATTTAAATAGTTCCTGAATTATTTAATTGCTTTTTATCACGCTTTTATTAGCTTCACTTGTATGTTTGTGAGTTTGTGGGTTTATAATTTTGTGAGTTTGTTTGTTTGTAACCGACTTCTTTGGACTCGATTTTGTCCCACTTTGAACGGACAGATTTATTTCAAACATTTATCAAGAATCGAAGACAATACAATAATTTGATAAGTTTATCTCATTATCCTGGTCAGGGTCACCAGGATCGAATAATTTCGTCACGTATTGTCTTCATGAGAGCAAGTGGCTGATGATGTTCGAACTGTTGTTCGAAATTGTTTACACATCAGTAAATATTACTGACTTGGAAAATTACTGTAACGACCATTTTCACAAAGTCATCGTTTAATCGGAGGCAGTATTCCATCTATATTCAGGATCTATCTATGACTAATTATCTCTAATAAATAATTACGAAACCTTAGAAAAATAAATTAACAATCTATCGAACTAAAAAGTGAAAAATAAATATAGTTTAAAAAAAAACTAAAAAACACGCTTTTAAAGCACATCAAACTAAAAAGGGAAAAATAGTTCTAAATATAAGATGAAAAAAATAATGAAAAATGACAAAAAATACTAGTATTATTATGGAAAAAGCGTGGGTTGCTCTGTATACGAAAAATGTGGCACAAAGCGCTCACACTTTTCTAATAATAGTATTGTTATTATTTTCAATTATATTAAGAATATTTTTCACTTTTATGATATGCTTAAAAGCGTGTTAGTTTTATTATTATATCTAGTCTCTGTGGTATATTTATTACCCTGCTTCAATAAATACAATATTAACATTTTTCTTAATTTTAACTGGTAACAATTGGAGTCGATTCGAACAGAGTCGGTCTGCGCTCAGCCATAGATATTACACTATATGGTAGTTACGCCCAGGTTCGTACCATTTGAACATAGAATATGTGTCATTTTGTTTCACAATTAAAAAGAATGTTGTAAGTGAATATTTTTGTGATTTATTTTTTGAGTACTCATTCATCAGATACAAAATAATATTTATCTGCGGTCTGAAATTACACATGTACATGAGTACTTTCTGTTTAACTATGTCACCATAGTCTTACATATACGTAAGATAAGGCATCCACTTTCCTTATTCTCATACTTAATACTTACATAAATAAGATGATAAAATTATTGATATGTAGTCATTTATATAACAATTCTCGATCCATTTTTAAGAGAACTCATTTTGCATTCATAGGAAAGTATTATTAAATAAGAAGAAAAAAAAATTAACATGTACTATGATTACATTTCTATAACAATGTTTATAAATATTTTCCCATAACTTAACTTAATCTTTTCTATTATTTTTCCCATATATACTAGCTTTTTGAGTTAGGTCCTGAGTTATGCGATTATAAACAAAGTAATGGAAAATCAGACAAAAAGCAAACTTATATGTCCAATGATATGACAATAATTTAATACCATTATTAACTTTTTAATGATATTCTTTTAAATATCATATAATATGTATTATAATAACCTTTTAGCAGAAGTATGTAACCGAGAGAAATTTTGTTAAACCTTAATGTCTATTAAAATTTCAATTCATATTAATTATTTAATTTTATGTAATCATTTATATTATTCGATTTTTATATACGGCTGTATAGTTTATCCTTATCCCTCTAACCCCAAAAATTAAGTTAAAAAAAAACTTCAATAATTTATTTTAATTGTCAGTTTACACTAAGCGAACTATACCAGTGGATTATTTCGTAGACGTGGTAAAATTATAATAATAAATAAGTCTCTCCAATATCCACTGAAGACTATGTATAATACTAGCGGTCGGCCCGCGTCTTCGCCCCCGGTGTTTTTAATTTTCATGCAAATCTTATGACAAATTATATACCTAAGCCTTCCTCGTGAATTACTCTACCTATTGATGAAAACCACATAAAAATCCGTACAGTTGTTTTTGAGTGTATGGCGAACAGACAGAGAGATAGACAGACACACGCTGCGGAGGACTTTAGTTTATAATATTTAGTGATTGTGGTCAATATTATTTTTTTATGTCTCAATATAATAAACATAAAAACACAGTAATTAGAAAGAGTGTCCCGTTCGCTCACCTGTATGACGTGAGATGATTTAAGCGAGACTAACCTGGTGTATTTTTAAGGTATGTTATACCTTTAACGTTACAGTGTCACATGCAAATGTGTCGCAGTAACGAAAGCATAAATTATTATAGAAGCCTTATTCATCTGTGCATATAGTATATAAACAGATTAGAATGCGTCTAAGGAGAAAATTTGTTTTCCGTTGTTGTTCAAGTTGATCTGTTGATCAATCCACTGTCAGTAGATTGATGCAGGCGAAACTGAGAGTATAATTAGGACCTTCAAGAACATAATGGCAAATACATTTTTTTATAAATTCCCGGGTAAAATCGCAATCCTTTTGTCTCGGTGATTTATTTTAATACAAAAAATGCTAACCAGATCTCTTTCAAACTTTTCAATGATCTCGATCTCCTCAGCGGCTCTCATGCTGTCCACCTTTTGGTTATTCAGTTCATCTTCGTACTCCCTACGCTGACGCTCTGACGTTTCATGAATCCTAGTTCAAATATATAGGAATGTTATATATTGTTCCTCTGGATTTGTTTCGATTTCATTATAATATTTATATATATATATATATAATTATTATAATACGGTTGTACATAACAATTATAACAATTGTATAATTACGTATGAAAATTATCAGTATTATTAATCACATAAAAAAATATTGGTTGATAAAATTTTCATTCATTGGATAACGGATAAGCTATGCAAAAACAGGTTATTGACTAGTACATTGAATTATACAGAATATGCAAGATTTTCAATTTTGTGCGTGGGTGTCATTCATTCTAGTTGTCGTTATTTTTATTATAATAAGATGACGTATCAAAAACTATCATAGTTTTCTATAACGTAAATCATATTCTTTTTAATACATTAAACTTAACTTCGATTAATTTTTGAGACACATATATATGTGTCAGTCAATGGCTGACTCTTCACGAGATCTCCGAAAGTATAGGTCCGATTGGCTTGGACTTAAGTAAAGTAATAATAGCCTCATGAATAAAATCCCCTACGATTGTTGTAACAATCAATCGTTAAAATATGTCAAACGGTTTTATTTGGAATTTATTATACAATTTCAGACCTACAATAAAAGACGTAATTGGTAAAACACTTCAATCTTTGACCGCGTGTAAGTGCTTTGTTTCGTTGTGTGAACGCTCGCTCGTCAAATACGACCCTATTGTCGATATTGTTCGCCGCAGTATCGTTTTTAATAAGACTCCTGAAACTTTGGCGATAGTTATAAGTAAAATAGCGCAGGAATATCGTGTGCTTCGAAACGGCACGTGGCGTAGTGACGAAAACTTCCAAGTATGCAACCTACAAATGTGCCACGAATGAATATCACAAGTTATATGAAGTGACTCTGTAAACAACTATGACTTAACCTATTACTGAGTTAAAGTAAGTACTGAATAAAAGCCATTTTCTATAACTTATGCTGATGATATATATAAATCCAACTTGTGTTTGATCCCTGTAATCCGTATAATTGTAAAACACATAACGGATTTTAACTTTTCTGTCCGAATCGAATAGTTCTTGCTTAAATTTAATACCCTAATTTTATAATTTAGTGTTTTGTAAAATGAGATTTTAGTGAAGAAACATTTTCTTAGCATAGTCTAGAGGCAAAGACTAGAAAGAAGACAAAGAGACAGCTTGCGAGCTACTAACAAGTAGCTGGTCATCGGCTTCTATGGATACTCGCAACCTCAGAGACCTCAACAGTGCATGACCGGCCTATTGATTAGAAATATCCGATGGAGAGAAAGTGGGTCACCGAAATTCGCACTCACCGGACGAGACTGAACATCGGCAGCTGTTACTTCAGGTCTGTATTCTGTGAGAAAACGATATCTCACCGGTCAAGCGGACCCATTTTCGTGCCGCAGTCAAGTTGACCAGAGCACGGCCCTACCAATCTGATTTCTCTTTAAAATAATCTACAATCAGTTTACTTAACTGTTGCAGCAATTCTTCCTGATACGCTTTATTAGCTTCTCTTCTGCGACGCGCTTTCTCGACGTGGAATTTGTGGAAAGCTCGTGAATGCTCTATTGCTGTGTTGTCATCGCGTTTCTTGCGTTCTCTCGTTTCCTGACGAAGCTGATTCAGGAACTGAATCTGTTCCTGTCTCTCCTTAAGGGTCGCTGTCTCAATAACGGCACTGTCGACGTTTACAAGTATATGATTCGAGTATTTATATGTGCTAGGAAAGCAGTTACACTAATATAATAAAACTTATATATGGCAAATTTAGAGCGTAGAGATATTAAGTTAAACAATGCGCTATAAAATACAAAACATTATAATAGGTAGGTATATAATTACAATTTTACTCATATTATTGTTTATTTTATTCAGTATACCTAACTAAAAGTTTTGGAGCATCTTTGGTCTTGAAAAACGTGTCTCTGGCGCTCTCCATTAGCTGTTCTTGTTCCTGCCTACGACGTTTCACGTAGTCGCGGTAGAATTCGGCATTAGCCTCTTCTTCGGCGGCTTTTCGCTCCAACCTCATTTCTTCGTGCTGTTTAGCGATATTCTAGAATTAAAACAATTGTATTAACAAAAAAAAATGGTAATGTTAACAATATAAAACCAAACAAGTGGAAATTGAACTCGTATGGTCAAAGTTCCGCATGATGAATATGTTATTTGCAACGGTTTTTTTTTTCAAAGCTAACTCAAATTTGTTTATAGTATCTAATATAACTGCAAATGTATGTTTGCATACATAATGAGAAATTTGGAAGTTATGGTAGTACTGTACTCTGAAGGTAAATATTTTTTTGAAGTTATACTTCAACAGATTTCATTAATATAAACCTTGTCTGATATTATCCATTAAGCTCAGTTGGTTGCAGCGTCGTGCTAATAACGAAGGTCGCGGGTTCGATTCCCTCTTGAGCCAGAACTATTCGTAAGTATTAGTAAAAATTGTACTGTATACTTTTCAGTGCTGTAATATAATTGAAGTTAACTATCCGTATGTACTATTTATTTATATAAATTACAATATTATTATTTAATATAATTAATACTAAATATTATTAAATTATTGATATGAAATATTTATTATTGGTTATTTAATATTTACAAAATAAAGGAATAAATTTAATAAAACATTTAATAAAAAATTTGTGATAAAAATTAAAATCGAACATCAAATTAAAATATTAATTTTTAATATTCATTATTAAATTGAATAAATAATAAATATTTATAAAAATAAATGAACAAATGTAATGAAAACTTATTGTTAAAAATGAAAAGTGAATATTAAATTAAGAAAATAATAAATATTTAAAAAATGATAAACTTAAATTTAATTTTTAAATGTATTATTAAATTAATTAATGTAATCAATTATTTATTGATTAATAATTGATTATTGGAATTAATTATTGGCATTCAATTAAAAACTATTTTTTAATAATGCCAAAGAAGTATAACTTCTCACGCACGTACATAAGTACATGCACGATTTTTTGTATAAAGCTCAGTAGTTTTGAATATCACTACAACAACTGCAAATATAAATTTGTATACACAGCATTAAGATATTTACCATATTTATTTATTTATTTCTATATTTGGATTTACAAACAGTGATACATGATAATTACTGATATAAAAGGTATACATTGATATATTTGTGCATATCTTCAACGTCGTGAACCACGGAGAACTATTATACATATTTTACGTGCAAAAAAAATACAAACAGACAAACATGGAACATCGTATACAGAAGTTCAAAAATCAAATGCGCGGTTTAAGGTATTAAAATATTTTTTCTGAAGGATCCAACAGTCGACGCCATGATGTCCATAAGCGTTAAAATGTGTGTTGTAAGCGTCTACCAGGCGGCGCATCGCAGACCGTGTGCCAGCTACTGTACGACAGCGGTTAATAGCAAACAGCTGGTGCGGCCGAGCTTCTCTTTGTAAGGTTCGATAAGGAACACGATAGCACAACATGCAAATTAAAGCCGCGCAGTCGTATTTATTGTAACATAAATCATACAACATCATGGCGTCGTGCTGGAGACGTCTGGAGCTTAAGTTCAATAAATTATATTTCTCCAGCACAGACCTGTATGAAAGTCTAACAAAACAACGCCTGAAGTGCATTGTTCTCAAGAATCTTTTTTGTACCATTTCTATGACATCTTTGTATTTATGGCTTCCGTATTGCAGCACCATACTCTAGTTGACATCGAATGAGAACTTTATACAATTGTATGTTGATGTTCTAGTGAAATTAGTGCAAGATCTCATAACAAAATCGTACACACTGAATGCCCTACTTACAGTTTATTCAACATGGAGGTCAACGTGAGCTTTACAATTGAAAACGACTGCCAAATCTCTGTTAAACGTAACTTCATCTAGTTTGGTTTCACATAATGCATATGAGTATTTATGGATATGTTTTTTTTTTAGAAAAAATTATAGATTTGCATTTGTTTATTGCTAAATGAAGTTTGTTGAGCCTAATCAGAAAATCTGTTCAAGTCTTGCTCACACAGAAGACAAGCGTTGTTACTTTTAATAGTGTGATAAATTTTATTGTGGTCTAACGTATAGAAGGCAATTGCAGCTTTTAAAACATATGTTTCATATCCTTGAAACAACATATTTAAAAACATGTTATTTCAAGAGCATGGATTTTTTTATAGATTTTTCGTTATACATAAGTAAAGAACTGCTTTATTTAATTTTTTTTAATTTTACACTCGGCAGTTTCAAGAGATAGAAAGAAGAATGCTAAATTTACATCTATTTCCTTAAATAAATAAAAGTACTTATTTTAAAATCATATTAAAAAATGCACATTTAAGACCTACACAACAAGCCCATGAATTTGATATGTCTTAAGGAAAATAGGCAAAACATTTTTCGTATTTATGAATTTGCCTTCCGAAAATGATCACCATATTCGAAATTCATTTATTTACCTGACACGTCACGTTTGAGTTACAGAAAATGTGTACCAACTTTTCAACTTAATCAGTCCAGTAGATTTGGAGAAAATTGTCTGTGACAGACAGATACTCTGTTTTTTTTTCCTTTGGATGTACGTAACCCTAAAAATTGCCTAAACAATAGAATTTCATGATTCGATTGCAGGAAACATTTGGATATCATTAAATTGTTAATTTACCTTGCATTTGATACAAGAAATAAAATTTATTTAATTTTTCCTACCTCGATAGAATCAGGCCATTTTCGACTAATTGCTCTACTTCTTTCATCAAGAGAACGGATATGTTCAGAACGCTGAGCTACTTCAACTTGTACAGATGGCTTCTTCGTCCATTTTGTGATGCGACCCCATTCATCGCCGCTCAACACCATCGGCATGTCTTAAGCAATCATCAGAATCATCAGAAATTGGTTAAATCATCACACCTGTTACTTCGCATTTAAAAACTCGGCGGACATGCTCCGCCGAGTTTTTAAATATAAAGTTTTACGAAAACAACTAATTGATCTAGTATTTTAAAAAATTCTCTTGCATTATGAAAACTTACCGTAATTATTGCAGGATTTAAGAGATGATATTTAAAATTAAAATGACTACCACTATTAGTGAAGTAAATGTCACTAATAATATAATATCAGTTGAAATAGTTTATAAATAGGTTACAAATAGGTAAGACTGCCGTCTTGCAATGCTAACCATAGAAACATAATAAATATTGTCCGTAACCATAGTACCGATTCCGACAGTAATTAAATGATTATATCGTAATAAAAAATATTGTAATATACATTTAAAACAAATAGGTTAAATTTAAGAGTAAATGCAACACGAAGATTTCATACAAATTTATTTCGTCGTGCGTTTTGACTCTATAATAGAAATAAATTCACAAATAACATTTAAAAAAAGTTCAAAAAATGTGAATTTCTTTACGTGATTTCGGAGAAATAACATCGTTTAATATGACGACATAACATATTATTGTGAAGTCAGATGGCTAAGTAAAGGGAAAATGCTGATATTGTTTTACGAGCTTAGAAATAAGATAGCAGATATTATGCAGATAAATAATAAACTACTGTCTCAATTGATTGACCCAAAATGGATATGTGGCTTAGCATTTCTGGTGTCGACTTTAAATGATTATTTGAATTATTTAAATTTGAAACTCCAAAAACAAGGACAGTTAGTAAATGATTTGTACAGCCATTTGAAAACATTTCAGAATAAAATCCGCTTGTGGGAGGCATAGATGCTGTCTGGTAACAGTTACCATTTCACCGCGCTCTCTGCGTTTGAAAATATTGCCTATGCTCAATACGCTGAAGAACTTAAGTTACTGTCGGAGCAATTTTCGAACTGATTTAGCGAATTCAAAAACATGGAAGAATGTTTCAATTTATTTGCTACTCCAACAAAAAGTAATATATGAAATACTCAAATACATTTGCAAATGGAGTTGATCGAGATTCAAGAAATCTCATTCCTAAAATCTAAATTTGAAGACTTGTGCGATTTCTACAAAAAATACCTCGAAGAAGACCATTTTCCGCAGCTTAGAAAATTCGCAAAAAGATTAATTTGTGCGTTTGACAGTACTTACAAAAGAGAACAGTTCTTTTCAATAATGAAAGTTAATAAATCAAAACATCGTATAAGGCTTGCTGACGATAATTTGGAATATTCTTTACGTCTTTGTATCAGTGAAATTAATCCAAACATTGATGGATTAGTTTCCCAAATTCAAGCTCAAGTGTCTCATCGATTTCGGTGTCGCTATTTAATTTTCGTAGTTTGTTGTAAATCCAAATTTCACGAATTAATTCTAATGCCTACTTTTATCATTTCATTTTATTATTTCATTAAATTGTATTATAATAACATTGTCGTATTATTTCATGTTTGAATTCTATCGCTAAAAATTATGAACACTACTTTAAAATGCACTACTTTTGAACGCTGGCAGCGAACGTATTTTCACATTAACGTTTGGCCCACAAATGTCAAAGGTTACCCAAGCCTGTTCTAAATAGTTCGTCATGTAAAAAACGTGTATGCATTTGTTGCATTGTTTTTTTTAAAATTATTGTCAGGAACTATTATTGTAGCCATTTGACAAAAATTGAAAGACATCGTTTTTTTTATTAATGGGAATTTCATTCTCGTCCAGCTACATTTATTACACCATCCCCTATATTTTTGGTGTAATTTATTGATAAATAATGCTTATAAAACTATTTTCATAGCAATTTTATTGAAATCACTCAAATTATATTATAAGAGTGCCTGTTAATCTTACAAAACACAATGACCGAATCATAAGCCATTCTAACCACTAACTCTTTTTTAATAATGAAAATAATTTGTGTAAATTTCAGCGAAATCGGTTCAACTATATGGATTCTTAGTAATACTCACAAAACCCTAAAAATGTACCGAATCTCCTTTTACTGACTTTCAGTTATATCCATTCAAAATTTTATTGAAATCAGCTTAATGATAAGGGTCTTTAGCATCTTTAAAAATATATCGAATACCTTTAAAAATATAGCGAAATTTAATACCTTAAAAAATATATAAAAAAATCCTTTCGTTGATATTCGTTGTATCCGTACAAATTTTTTTTTAAAAGAGGTTAAATTACATATAAGGATTCCCATTAATTCTCACGTAAACTATGAAAGTGTATCGAATATACCTTTACTCGTTTCCAGTTATCTCTATCTTTAATTTTATTAAATTCGGTTAAATTAAAAGGGTTTTCAGTAATTCTCATGGAACCCTAAAAATGTATGTTTTATATTTCCTTTTATTGGTTTTCAATTGCCTTTATTCTAAATTTCATTAAAATCGGTTAAATTATAAAGGTCCTTGGTAGTCGGACGGAACCCCAAAAATGTATCGAATATCCTTTTACTA